TGACTATAAGTTTGTTGAAATCGGAGTTCTGGTTGACTTTTTATCAAATCTTAAACATTTCTTTCTCAAAAAGTTGCATCAATATTCGTGTCATGCATTGATATTCATGCTGGATGGTACAAATTTGTTGATGATATATCAATAATATTTACATAATAATCACACATTTTTTTCGTCTGGTCCATTTGTAAAATATTCACTATAAGTTGACGATTACAGAGACCCCTTATCTGAGAAGCAGGAAAGGGTTACAAAGTCTCCAACATTAGTACATTGACATGTCGATGAAGTCGTTGTAAGAAGTGGGCGGCGGCCGAGGATGATTGGCGGCAACCAATGAGAGATGGTCGGCGTCGGTTAACGACTGGTGGTTTGTGGTGGTCGGAGGCTGTTAGCGACGGTTGGTGACGAAATGATGCTGGACTTTAGTCCTCTAAGCTTTAAACTCTTCTTCAAGCTTCAAGTTCTCCTTCCCCATGCCTCCAGCTCTCTTCTCTCATGAGAGGGGTGGGGCTCTATTTATAAGGTTCTAGGTGCAATTAATGTTAGAATATGAACCACTTTGATCAAACGGTCAGAAGAAGTTCCCTTGATCAAATGACATATTATGGATATTTGAGTGTCTTAACGATGTTAGAATCGAGCGATATTCAGTTCGTTACATCTATCTTGTCGAGACACTCGATTTGACTATGAAATTATAAGATTTGGCATTAATTTGATCTTCCAAAGATGCCTGGAAGGCCTCCATATGCTGATTAATGGTTTTATCGGGCCTTGAATTAGCTCAGATTAGAGCAATTTTGTTAACATCGGGTCCATCTCGTCGAGCCGGTTAGTTTGACTATAAGTTTGTTGAAATCGGAGTTCTGGTTGACTTTTTATCAAATCTTAAACATTTCTTTCTCAAAAAGTTCATCAATATTTGTGTCATGCATTGAAATTCATGTTGGATGGTACAAATTTGTTGATGATATATCAATAACATTTACATAATAATAACACATTTTTTTCACACTTCTCAAAACTTATATGATTAATTCAAAGCTTGACCTGATCAAAATTTAATCAGAATATCTTGGCCCATATACACTCTAGATATAACCTTTTATTTTAGTTTAAAATTTGTGCCCTCGTGAATATTAAAATATTATTACAAGCATTTTAACGAAAAATGCATTTTTTAATGAAATTTTTAATTAAAATACTTATCAAATCTATTAAATACATATTATTACATTTTTCTAAAAAAAAATTAACTATTTAGATTCAAAATTTGTTTTAGAATAGTTTTCTGAACTTTTACTTTTTAGGCCATTGTAATAATATTTTTAAAATATTATAACTTAAAAATATATATATTTATAATATTCTCAATTGCTTTTGAAAAAATTATCAGAAATAAATTCTTCATTTAATAAATTACTCTCGACCGAGGAACGACGGCATCAAGTGCACGCCAGAACGGTAAGCAGACACCAAACATGGAAACAAATCAAACGATACAACCGGTCCCACGACCATTCCAGTACTACTGCTGGTTGGAGTGTGTGATTCATGTTCAAGAAAATATAGCGGATCACAATAAAAAGCGGCTTAAGAAGCCAGAGAAGTCGCGGTCAAACAAAAATAGTGGTTTTGGGTACTTGGATTTAAATTTTTAAATTGATGGGAATGTATGGGTTAAATAACTATTGCTGTTAGGTTCAGGTGACCTAATTTAATAACACATAATTATGTGACTTAAATTGCAAAATAAGATATGTATATTAAAAAAATGGTCTGCAGAGACGTTTCACTGCGACGGAGTAAACCAATGTTTCCCTCCAAACAGAGGATACCCGACGGTGGAATCAGACGAGACTTTTTAGCATAATACAAGAATACAAAAGTTTAAAATTTTTATTTTCGTTCATTTTTTTAATTGTAAAAGGAGTCATCAGCTTGTCGATAGTCGTATACTTTCATTTCCTGAATAAATCTCTCTTTCAGATTCTATGAATGATCAGGAGAAGAAAGAAACTGGAAAAACCGGACATACGAGAAAGACAATAAACAATAGAAAAAAAAATATGTGAAGTCTACGTGTGACAATCCTTGTGGGGATAAGTCAAGCACGTCTGCACAAACAAGATCGGGCATAGGCACATTTGACAACTATCTGCAAAAGAATGTCTACATAGGTCACCCATAACTAAAGATTCAGGGGTAGATGTTTGTTCTGGGATCAAAAGCACTCCCAAAAGAACGTATCCACATTAAATAATTACATTTTAGGGTATACCCAAGAATAGTCTTATAACTAAAGATTCAGGGGTAGATGTTTGTTCTGGGGTCAAAAGCACTCCCAAAGGAACGTATCCACATTAATTAATTACATTTTAGGGTATACCCAAGAATAGTCTTGATAAAGGGGGTTCGTTTGTATTGTCGTAGACATGGGGAAATAGGTCAACAAAGAAAGGTTATTCCGTGTGGGGATGCATGCTTCAAAGCTCTCGCTAAGCAAAAATTTTTGTGTGCGGACTCCTGACGTAGCTCTAAATGCGGCCGAAGTTATTTCTGAGTTATTTTCAGGTTATTTCTGGATTATTTTTAATAATACCGAAATAACCCAAAAATAAAGACAGCGGGTTATTTCTGGGTTATTTCAGGATTATTGAAAATAACCCAAAAATAACCTGAAAATAACTCAGGAAAAACTTACGTCGCACATAGAGCTACGTCAGTAGTCCGGACAGAAAATGTGCTCCTCGCTAAGCCATCGATCAAAGAGCGAGTCTCTCTCACCCCAAATGAGTAGCAGCTCATCGACACGGGAGACCCATGAAATAACATAAATCATCTTGGTGGAAATATCCCAACATGTCAAAGCATGTCCGGGTTATAAGGGCAAACGACAAATCGTTGTATCTAAAATGGGCAACAGCTCATCGACATCAGACATTCAATATAATATCAACAAAGCCAAGGAACAACAAGCCAAAGTACCGATGATGCTTAAGTTTACCTGGTCGTGGTGATAGTCGGTCCAACACCTCCTAAAATCCCCAGTCAGTAATCTGTGAATTACATCATCCCCGGGGACCTCGGTAGCTTTAAGGTCAAAGGAAAGAAACTCTATCCTATGATTATAAGCTGGAGCTCCAAGAGATGAGACTCACACATGCCAAAATGACTAACAGCTACACTAACCAGAGGAGGCTACCGGTAGCAACGACGGTGGCTAGCAGCTATGATGGCCAATATTTTGGATAGAGCTATGTATTTTAAATTCGGCCAAATCCATCAAATTTCAAATCCATTCAAAATGAACAAAGTAATGATTTCATTCTTATTTTACGTTGAATTTATAAATCACCATGCCAAAAGCTTGAAACCCTAAAAGTCGCACAAAAAAAAAACAAGAAGCTATTTTTGCAACAGTCCAAACAGCCCATAACAATCAATGAATCTTTTTTATTTTATCATCACAGCTATTAGGTTGATTACAAAATTGGCATTTTTTTACAGATTTCGAGCCCTCAAATTCATAAAAAATAATCACACAATTCACCAAAAAAAAATTCTGGAGTGATTAATTCCAGGTTCTGAGCACCAATCATTTGAAATTTGATAATTTGAACACAATTGTAGTTGTGCTGAGAATTTAACTTTAAGATTGTCGAACACTAATAAAAAATAATTCAAATTTTAACTGGAATTGAGATCAAATTGATGTATACAAGCCGAGCTGATACAGCAAGGATTTCTTTCAAACTAATTTCAAGCCAAACACAAATTATATATATATATATATATATATGTGTGTGTGTGATATTTGAGAATATTGCTCCCCATATATGCTCGAATCAGGGTTATAAGAATCTTACGACTGATAACGCGGTTGCATATCAACTTGAGAATACCACTCCTCATATATGCTCGAATCAGGGTCATAGGAGTTCTATGACCTATAACGCAACTGCATATCAACTGAAAATACCACGCATAGACGCACGGGCATGCACCGACGCGAATGCGCGGGGCATAGTTTTAGCATACACAAATAAAGTTCTAACATGTCCAAGTAAAAGGATTATTAAGCTTATTTAAACTTTACTTTTATCTATTAATTTTGAATTAGCTCAATAAAAATAAGCCAGATTGCTTCAAATTTCAGCCTATTCTAGATCCGAATAGCCAAGTTGAACAAACTCTATCCACAAACTTATTTCGCGCTACATTCAAACTCTTCTAGCAAACCCTACCTCAGCTTAAAATAGGATCATTCACAGCCCTAAATTTTAGTTGAAGCTAACCGTAAACTAATCGATACTTTCAACTCCTGTTTGATTTTAAGAATTTCAACGTCTCTCAATAAAATTTCATACAAAATTAACAGGCCAATCAACTTTTAATGTGTTGCAACTTAGAAACCCCAATTACATTTTTTTAACTTTAAATGTAGGTTAAATAACATGTTATAACAAATAATAATTAAAATGAAAATTTAAATACATCCCATACAACACTTAAATTTTGATATTTATTAATATGAAATTTAAACCTTGGGGCAATTACATAATGGGTACCCATCCATTTTTCAAATTCTCACTCAAATATCAAAATTCATGATAAAACCCCAACTCTAAAACCCCAACTCATATTTTCACATATTTTCATTTTTTTTTTTTCAAATTCTCAAAGGTTCAATCATGGCACGTGTAAATGTTCGGTAGCTCAAAAAAATCACTTCGGTGGTTACGTTTCTGATACTCTATATGTAATTGTCCCTTAAATCTTTAATTCACATCATAAATACACTCTACTATCAACTTTTTAAAAAACAAAAAACACAATTTCAAGCATAAATTTTGATATCAAAACTTAGATATTTGATATGTAAATACATACGATACATGCTGCATGCGAAAAAATTCCACAAATCAAAAAATGAATAGTGAATTCAAAAACCTACAAACCACAGGGCGAAAAACTCAAGAATGCGGCGAAACATATTCCAAAACTTGACCCAATGAAATGATCTTATAGTAATCTATTACACAATTATGACACAATTCAAGCAACCAAACCTATTTATAATGACTAAAATCACAAGAAAATATTCAAGCAAGAAAAGCCTGTTAAGGTCAGCACATAAAAATAGCATATAACATTGAATCATAAAAATAATAATAATAACGATGACAATCATATGCCTACAAAGAAATTAATGGCTACCAGAGACGAAAGCTTGCTTCGTACCTCATAATTGAAGCAAAAGAGAACTCAAATAGCGATGAGAGCTAAAACATTCATACATTTTGGTCGCGGCTGCTGGAAACCTCAGCAGAGCAAACTGGGCAAACCTGCGAGAAGCAGAGAACAAAATTAGGCTGAAAATGATTCTTGCTACTAAGCATAATCTTGAATTCATATGGCATCAGTTTAAAAAAGTAAGATTTACGTACATACCACTCAATTCCTATGTAATTACATACCTTCCAACTAAAATTCAATTTTTACAGAGATGCCCACCTTACTTGAGCATGAAAAAGGAATACTTCACATTTTAAAAGTTTAAAATGGTGATATTTTTTATATGATGCGAAAGATTTGGTTGGTATTGATGTAAAAGATAAGGTTCAAGTGTTAGATGTGTAAATTCATAAGAATTGGGTGGTACGATGTAAATTAACCTAAAAGAAAAAAAGAAAGTTTTGCATACATCCAACTCGATTTGTATGTATTTACGTATCTCACACCTAAACTTCAATTTTTACATGCATAGCACCTTATGCATGAAAAGGTGTATTTCACTTTTTAAAAGTTAAAATGATAATATTTTTTGTAGCATGAAAGATTTGGGTGGTACTAAGCGTATAAAGTAAAATATATGTAAATTTGTAAGAATTGTTGGTGCGTATGTAAATGCTACTAAAAGAAAAAGGAAAAGATTTACAAACATACCACTCAATTTATATGTATTTATATATCTAACACCTAACATCAAATTTTACACATGCCACCTTACATGCATGAAAACTTATATCTCACTTTTAAAAATTAAAATAGTCATATATTTTTATGTGACATGAAAGATTTGGGTGGTGGTATAAACATAAAAAGTAATATTTATGTGTTAGATATGTAAATTCATGAGATTGAGTAGCATGTACGTAAACGCCCCTAAAAGAAAAAAGGAGATTTACGTAATACCACTCAAATTCCGATGTATTTACATATCTAATACCCAATTTTCAATTTTTACATATAAATACCTTACCTATGCATAAAAAAGGCGTATTTCATTTTCCAAAAAGTTAAAATAGTGGTAATTTTTATGTGAAATGAAAAGCTAGTAGAAATTTAAGAAGTGAAATTTTGGTGTTAGATGTGCAACTACATAGGAATTGGGTAGTATGTATGTAAATGACCCGTATTGAAAAAAACTACTAATCAGATTAGTGCCCAGGGCATGGACCCTAGGAATCAATCCTCTCACAGATTATAATCTTATCGTGAGCTCTTCATCGTCATTCATTTGTCGAACATTTCCCTAGCGACACGAGCTTTTCCTCGTCCATCTGAACGTCTTGAAGCCATTTCATTTTGGGACACTTACATCCATAGCACACAATTTTTATTTATTTACATATCTCACACCTAAACTTTCATATTTACACGCATTACACTCGAGTCTTTGATATGAGATAAAAAATAGCACTATTACCCCTTTTTAAAAGTGAAATACAACATTTCATGCATAAGTTTAAAGCACTGAAGTGCTACGTTGATAAATAAGAAACTCTACGTTTGAGACTTGAAAAGACATAAGAATTGTGCGCTACATATGTAAATTTCCCTTTTATTTTTTGCTTCATTGCAGCAGAGCTTTGCACCTATCTAATGTCGTGATTTTGTATGCATCATTTCTTTGTGATAGCTTCGCAAGCTCGCAGTCGTAGGGCTCTTCCACAACTATCTTAGAATCAGTCCAACTCTAACGCCCCAGAATTTCTACTCTTAGGGCTCGTTCGAGGCAGCTTATAAGTGCGGGCAGCATTTTCAAGATGACTTCATGTCGTTTGATAAGTTTGTTTGGAGAGCTTAATAAAAAACGTCGTTTTCATTTATTTAATAGATGCGGTCGCAGGATAGACCCCACGGCCCGTGTCTTGAAGAGGTGTTTCCTCCCTAGCCCTTCTGTCTCTTTCCTCGCACGACAGGATCCCCAAACGTTGTGTGATCCCAAATCCTCCCTATTCGAACCTAACCGGCGACCTTCCTTTTCCTAATCTTCGCACACCACTGCTTCTTCCTCCTCTTTGTTGTCCTGATTCCCCTCTACCCGAGCCGCCTCTTCTCCTGTTCACACGAACCAAATGTTGAAGGCCTTCGCTAATCTTCATTCCTATGTGCCCCGACCTCCTTGCACCGATCCCTAACCTGCGCAAGGAACAACGGCTCTTCTCAATCACGCGATTTCCTTTGCCCTTCCTCTGCAAACCTCGAAGCCGAAGTCCACAATTTTAAGGATCTCTCTCTGCCCAAGCCCGTTTTGCCTCTCTGCAATCCGCATGAAGGGACTGTAAACCGATCCACTCCCTATCCTAACCTCAAAACCCAGGCTTCTTTATTGTTTAGAAGGGCACAATAGAAATTTGTTTTTTTTTTCTTATGGTTTTAACTGATGATGCCATCCAATTTCTATCATGATGTACATTAGTTTCTTGCCTTTCAATTATATTCAGCAGCAAGATCATTAAGCTGCAGCATTGGTGAGAGTATTTGACTATCATTTAACTATTTTGGTTTCATTTTGTTATTCATTAGGGGGCGTTGACTAGAATTGGAGAATAAGTTGGTTTGCTTTCATTCCAATATGCGCATAATTTATACATTCTCAATAGAGATTCTAATAGAAAACTTGAAAAATTAGAGAACAAAAATAACCTCAAATAATTACAATATTCCCATGAATTGGTGAACGGTCAACAAGGATTCTATGGATATGTGATGTAGTAGTTTTAAGGAAGGAAGAGGACAATAGTCATAGCCAAATACCAAAAACTTGATCCTGTGAGGTGGTAGTTTCAAGAAAGGAAGAGGACAATAGTAATAGAAAATCTTTTTATTAAGTTTGATACTCACTGTTTAGTGAGGATTGTTTCATCTTTTCTTCTTTATTGTTATGTATTAGTTTTTCACTTTATCAGTATCAAATATATGGCCAAGATAGTTCAGTTACAAACAACATTATTTAACAAACGCTAACTGGTCATTTATCGACATTAGGCTGCAAATCAGTTGTTTTCAAACAGCTGCCCCAAACAACCAACCAGCTTATCAGGATAAGTTGTTTATCTGTATAAGTTGAATAAGCTGCAGCTGCCCCAAACAGACCCTTAGCCTTAGCCTTTGAATTACCCATGTTTTCCTTACTCAGGGTCCGTTTGAGGCAGCTTGTGCGTTTCAGGATAAGCTGTTTATCCTGAAACGCGGCCCGTGGTCCGGCCTCAAGGGTCGACCCGCGGCCTGCGTTTAGTGTAAAAACTCAAACGCAGTTTCGGATAAGCTGGCGAAACGCGCGAATCAAATGGTACGACGGCGTTTTGAAAACACCGCCCGCACTTATAAGCTGCCCCAAACGGACCCTTAAGTATATAATGGCAATGCTAATTAGGGGTGTGAAAGATCCAATTTCGAGCCGATCCAGGGCTAGCTCGAAATCGGATCAAAATATTTTTAAACATATCAAAATCGGATCATGAATCAATCCAGTAAATTTTGATCCAATCCAATGTGAATCATTCTGATTTTCGAGCAAGCTCGAAATGTAAACAAGTCGGCTCGAATGGTAAAGAAGCCGACTCGAGTACCATTTTTAGCTCATGAGCCAGATAGGTCCGACTCGAATCCACCTTGGCCCGGCCCGCTAGACTAGCCCACCAGTAAAAAATGCATTTTTTTGTGAAAAGAGGGGATTCGAACCCCTGCCACTCCATTCAAGCAAAAAAGACCTCACCAAGAGAGATGGCAATGCATTATGCATGTAAAACTAAACAATTTAGGTGTTATATATGGAAATACATAAGAATTTATTTCGACCCCGATCCAATCTCGATCCTGATCCGAGTCGAGGACGGATCGAAATAAATTCAATCCTTTAATTTAGCTCATAGCTCAGCTCGAATGGTTCGATCTGAGCTAAAATTCAATCCAATTTTAGAGCAATTCAAGATCTTCAAGCCAATTTCACAACCCTAATGCTAATGGCCTCAACTTTTACAACCATTCTATAATGTTTTCACTTTCTTGATCTTTTGTGTTTTCTTGTCAGACTAAAAATTATTATATTGCTAAGCTTCTTATACTGCAAAGGTTGTTTTTTGGAATATTTACATGCATACCCATATTTTCCTATGCATTTACATATCTAACGCTGGGTGCATGCCAGCTTATGTATGCATGAAACGATGTAAAAGTTCAAATGGGAGTATTTGTCATGTGATATGTAAGATTTGGGTGGTATAAATGTAAAAAGCAATGTTTAGGTGTTTGATATGTAAATACATTAGAATCGGGTGTTATGTAAGTAAACGCCCCGTTTTTATAATTGGCTTGGTTTTAATGACTAATTCTAATGGTTTTGGTCATTTCTTTTATTATTAATAATGATTAATTCTTTACCATTGTTAAAAGACTTATGTGAATGTAAGATAGTATATTTTATTGTAATGTCTTCCATAGAAAATGCTAGCATTTAGTTTTATCATTGCACTTTTTATATTAATATTCATGTTCAATCAGAGATTGTCCGGAAAACACGTCCAATGAGTGGAACGTTATATTATAACTAAGAGAGAGAGTGTGAGAGAGTGAGTGAAGGAGCGAGAGTAGATAAGCAAAAAGTATCTTTTATTCATAATATGGACCCTTATTTATATGCCTAGGTCCCAATATTACATAAGTACATAATATCCCCCTAATCATTAAACTTTCAGAGGGTTTTTTTATAATTTACAATGTTATTTGTATATAATAAGACTCGAGACCTATTTGATCAATAAGGATCGTTGATCGTCTGTCAGGAATCGGATTGATCGATTCATGGTCCGAAGGAATCCCCCGCATCGATCGTGTTGAAGGTTGATGGTTGTCCCAAGAGACTTTCTTTTGTCATCTTATGTCGATCGTTCGGGTAAGGTGTATACTCCGTCGTTGCTCATCTGAAACGATCATCTATTGCTACGTCCGATCAATCGTACTTCCTAGATCACCCATCTGCTTTGAGATTCGTGCGGGCACTTTTTCATATGTACAATTCAATAAAATCAAATTTTATGACAAACAAGTTTCACACTTA